AAAGCAAACAAAGCAAACAAAGCAAACAAAGCAAACAAAGCTAACCCTCGAGGCATCCGAAACTCGTGAGAGCTTAAAACTCTGTTTAACATTATTCTTCCCACCTCTTAACTCTCAAGGTCATGTTAGTAGAGTCAGTGACTTAGAGGTCTACGGGCTTAACATGAGAAAAGAATATCTGTTGCGAACGTAGTCCTTTACACCCAAAGTGAAACCTAAAGAGAGGATTCTTGTTGGGTTTAAATCAAACTTTTGTTGTAGAGCCTCAACCGCCTAGATGTGAGAATTTAACTGGCTGTAACGTTTATTTTATTCAGGCTTTTTTAAATCTTGGGTTGCCAAATTGGCATACATCCAGCGAATAAGTTTATGAGGTAATGCCATGATATTAAGAGAGCACCGAAGTATTTCAATGAAAGTCGACGAGCCATCGAGCAGATTTTTCTGTTTCCTGTTTTTCTTCTGCGTATTAGTCTCAGATCAAACCCACAAATAAACCAGACAATGATTGAATATTCAAAGAGGAAACGTTTCATGCAAGATAAAAAGAAAAGCTTCTTTGAAATCTTTTTCCGTTGCTCATTTACTTTGATTAGATGCGGCCATTCACATTCAAAGATATTTATCCCTTATCCCCTTGTACACACGTGTATTTCCCATGGCGATGTAACTGTGTGGCAGATATTGTTGAGCATCATCGGTAGAACACGTCGCTGCAAGAATCCTTTTAACCTTGGAATAAAGATGCGTATCTAAGATATCACAGTTTCCACGGTTAAGCGTAAATCCTTCTTCAAAACAAAGACTGTTTTAGTTTCTGGCACTTTTCTTCCTCTGTCAAGAACGCACAAAAATGCATACTCAGCTGAGGTGTGATCGTTGGAAGATCCTAATTATGTCGTTCCATAGCTGAAACTCAAGAATCTCCATCGGTGTTTTTTTTTGTGCCTTAAACGTTTTCTACTTTTCCTGTCCAAAAGGCATTTTTAATTGATTTTGCAGTTTTAAAGACAATTTTAACACAAATCAGCCCCCACCACGTATCAGTTACGAAGTGTAGGTAGCAATCTGCCTAACAATAATGAAAAAAAAAATATTTGTACTTACTGTCTTCCTCGATATCCACGATAAGATATGCGTTCACATTAGGTGTACCGGCTGTACTTTTAAATTTGTCTGTACATAGAGTTAAGTTTCCTGTTCCAACTGGTCCTGGGGAGCCCTGCCGACCCTGTGGACCTTGAATTTCTATCGGACCCTGAAGACCTTTTGGGCCCTGAGCGCTTGAAAGCCCAATGGGGCCTATAGGACCTTGAGTTCCGATATATCCTAATTGTCCCTGCGGACCTGGCGGGCCAATTGGACCTTGAGGACCCTGAACGCCCGGTGGACCAATCGAACCCATCAGGCCTCGAGTGCCATTATAGCCTTGTGGACCCTCTATACCAGGAGGCACTGCTGGACCCGAAGGACCCTGAGTGCCATTGTAACCTCGAATACCTTGTAGACCCTGAATACTAGGCGGACCAATGGCACCCAGAGGACCTTGCGCACCTCGTGGCCCAGTTGGACCGGGAAGACCTTGAGTGCCATTATAACCTTGTTATCCCTGAATCCCTTATGATCCAGTTGGGCCCGGAAGACCTTGAGGACCAGTTAAACCTGGTGGACCTTAGGTCCCATTGTAGCCTTGCGGAGCCTGAAAACCTGGAAGTCCAATAGAGTCCCGAGGACCTTGAATGCCTTGAGCACCTGTTGGACCAATTTGACCTACTGGACCTTGAGTGCCATTATATCTTCGAAGACCTTGGATACCTGAAGGGCCAGTTGGACCTTGAGGACCTTGAGTACCATTAAAGCCACGTGTACCTTGTAGCCCAGTTGGACCTGGCAGACCCCAGGATAGATTATAACCATGCAGCTCCTGAAGACCAACCAACAAATTGAACTTAAACGGTTGCACTATGAGTGTTATGTCTTAGTGCGTTTGGTAAAAGTTTATTCTCAGTGATACGACAGAAAAAGGAACGAAACGACAAAGTACAATATGCTTGAAAACAGAGCTCTTTTAATGAAGAAATATTAGATAGATTTTCCTCTATGTCTTCTCAACATAGCAAAGTGTTTGGTAGCGAGCCGCTTGGTGTGAAACAGATCGCATCATACAAAAAGATCTCATAAACGCTCGGATGGGAAACTATATTGAGAGCAACTTGAATTGAGGCCAAGTTTTCATTTACGTACTTTGCAGCCGTAAACTTTTGCAGAGTGCTATCTATTTCTCAAAATGATGTGTCACGAGACGCAGAGTCATAATCTTTTAATCGCTTGGTTTCAGTCGCGCTTTAATCGTAGAAATCTTCAGATATATTTTTCTAATTAACAACTACCAATCGAATGCCGCTTACTCGTAATTGAAGGTGTTAATATGACTCCTGTGTTTTCAAAAGTGATTGATAACAAATGGAAGGGTGACATATGTTTACAAAACACCAGCATTCGATTTTGAACTCACCGTTATCCTAATGTTATGATATTTAGCTTCAATAACTCTAAGTGCCTCCCAGACGTCTCCATGCTCAGTTTCTTTCAACTCCTAAAGGTCCATTAGTCAGGCTTGTGAAAAGAAATAAGAGAATAAAATGTTAAGAGGCATCAAGGATAGACAGATCAGGACTGATAACAGGACAAACCTAGCGTTAAGTTTCTTTCCTCCGTGGAATAGGTGTAACACTATTTCCAATCTTTCGTCAGGGTATGTGGCAGTTCTTACAATATTGGGAGGTGATTTGGAGGCGCAGACAATAAAGTTCATACCTTAACACCTTTATTGTTGTTGAGCGCCCAAAATGAAAGCGTGGAAAATGTCAGACATATATTTTTAGACTCTTTTTTTCTTCAGCGAATACGCTTTCTCATGGTAATTCAGATTTTAAGGGAAGGTTAGAAAGATCAAAAACACATTTTTCACACTGGGAAAATGTAACTTACCAAAATCTTGTTTACTAATATCAATGTAACACTCTCTGAAAGCAGCTTGTTGATTGTATTGGAGCTCCTATCAACTTCTGGAACGGACGACTGCGCTTTTGAAGCTGAGGGTTCTGNGATAATAAGCGAAAAAATAGGATCCTTATTGCCCATTAAATCAGAACATCGTTATCGTACATTCAAAAAAAGAACAAACAAAGTGTAAAATATTTACATAAGATTTTCAGTAGTTATACTAATTATCTTAATTAACAGTTGTTATCACGATACATGGAACCCAACTGCTTTATCTTGTGTTCTATGAGTGCAAATGTTCCAACCATACCGATGGATCCTGTTATGATATTTGGTCCGAACGAGGACCAAATAAAGAAAATATTACTTCCTTACGCTTCCTCTGAAGCACTGCTTGAGGCTATATAGTGTTAATTTGTTCACGTCTAAAAATCCTCGGATTCTTTTTTTAATGCTTATGACCGGTTTTAACTTAAGGTCAACAACCTTGCTTTACAGCATCTGCACTTACTCCCAGCATCTGCACATACTCCCTGACCGAATCAATATTTCATCTCGTACATGGTGCCAATTTCCCCGCTTTCTCGTACAGGACAATTATATCTTGCACAAGAGCAGCATCCTTTTTACCGTAACGAGATCCTAATGATAACTTTTCATTTTCTTTTTAGTTTTCGCCCAGCTTAATAAGTTTATGTCATTATTATCAGGTTAACTAAAATTGTGCTTTAATCTAGAATTGTCTTGCTCTTTTAAGCTGAGACATTCCAGTCGCATGATAGGCAGTTTTGGTAATTTTGATTAACGAAAATTCAATAATTCTACAGAACTCGAAATAAATGCCTCAAGTTTTGATTTATAAATTAAGGCTTGAATACGGATTGGTAATAGATAATAGACAAGTAAACGATGCAATACCTTGTTTCTGTTGATTATCTGAGCTCTCCGAGCAGCTACATCTGACACCAATTTGCCCACTTATGACTGCGACGATCAAGACAAATGATACTTTTGAAAACAGGCACACGGATATCATCACGGCAAGGAGAACACGTTTCGATAAATTACTGCTCGTTTTGCCCAGGAAATCCACTTGTCCTCCAGCTTAATTTCCTGTACAAAGTCACCTTCGATACCTTGGTCCTTTTGATAAGCTTGTTGTCTTCCAGTTTTTTCAGCATTTAAGGAATGCACTCTTCCAGATGCCATCACTTGGCCCTATTTTTAAATACTAACTAACTTTCGTCTACCATTTCCCCTATGAAAATTTTTAATTCTTCAAAACTTTTAAGTATGACCCTTCGAAAGTTCATTGAGAGAGTGGCATTTTGTAATCATGACTGAGGCTACAATTCTGACAAGTATCAAATTGCCAATTATTAGTCAAAGCTCGTTGCACTTTCGGGAACGGGTACTTTCGTATCCTTTCACTGAGCAGCGCTGACGTTAACTAACAGTTGGTGAATTCAAATAGCCAAAGGGGTGCATAAGAATGACGTTAACGTCACGGCATGCTATAAAACATCACATTAGGGACGGATAACATAACACTCAGGGAAACCTTGATTAAACCATCGATTTCTCTGAAAGAGAGAAATCTGATTTAAATAAATGATAATATGTCGAACATTAGCAGATATGGTACACTTAGGGACAAGAAATCGTTATGATTGA